GGCCCCGGCGGTGCCGGCGGTCCCGGCGGGCCATGAGGGAGCCGCCGGCCGCGCTGCCGCCGCGGGAGCCGCCGGAGCCCGGCAGTGCCTAGCGCGGGCTACGGGCTTTCTGCAAGTCATCGGGGCCGGCGGACGCGCCCCCGCTGCCCTCCCGCTGCCCCAGCCCAGTTCATCCGCTCGGGGATTATTTAATTTATTTATTTGTTTGTTCATTTATTTATTTATTTTCTTCCGCCGTGCTGTATGTACTGGTTTCCTCGTCACCCGCCACGGTTAACTTCCCTGTGACTCGGTTTAACACTTGAGACGTCCGTGGATGCTGCTAAGAGCACTTCTCTTGCCTTTGCTGTCCCTTGCTGGGATCGGATTCACACTACCCGGACCCTGTGTGCCTGTATGTGTGTTCTGAGTGTCTTGACATTTTGGTTTTCTTTACAAGAACTATGCATTAATTGTAACCAAGGTAAGACTCCCCGTTCTTGTTCCCTCATGTGCATGTCTAATTTAGTTGTTTCGTTAAAGATGAAGTATGCAGTTTCTTTTAAACAGTGGAGTCATATGTAGCCCTTCCATTGATGAATACTTGTGAAATAGAAGCGTAGAACTTGCCAAAAAAAGAGACCTATTTAGCAGATTTAGCTTGGCTCTACAAACTGCTCTGCTTTTCTCTGTTTGCAGCAGCTGTGATGCTTAGAAGAGTAATTTGTGCCTTGTTTTATTTTCCCTTTTCACAGACCTGTGAATGACCATAGGCTTGGCTTGACCTTGATTTTGATGGCTTTGTTGGAAGATCTGATGATGTGATTGCATGTCATGAGGTGATTGCTCTCCAGCCTCCAGCCTCCGTGGCTCAGTGCATAAACCACTTCTGCCACACTGTCACTCATGGACAATTCTGATTTTTCTTTTAAACAATCCTTTTGGCTGTTTTTATCTTCTCACTCTTATTTCCCCCTTGTTTCTTCTTAATGTTGGGAGCTTTATTCTACCCTCTGATGTGATTGATAGTCCTGCTTCTCCGTGCTGCTGATTTCCAGTTTCAACTACAATGGCTCTAAGTGGCAACTGCAGGACTTACCTTCCTGCCCGGGAGCAGGGCACGGGGCTGCACTCCTTCCCCGAGGTGGTGGAGCTCAACGTGGGCGGCCAGGTTTACTTCACTCGCCACTCCACCTTGGTGGGCACCCCTCACTCCCTGCTCTGGAAAATGTTCACCCCAAAGAGAGACACAGCCAACGATCTGGCCAAGGACTCCAAGGGAAGGTTCTTCATCGACAGAGATGGTTTCCTGTTCCGATATATTCTGGACTTTCTCAGGGACAAGCAAGTGGTTCTGCCCGACCACTTCCCAGAGAGGGGAAGGCTCAGGAGGGAGGCTGAGTACTTCCAGCTCCCGGACTTGGTCAAGCTCCTGACTCCCGACGACAGCAAGCAAAGCCCTGATGATTACTGCCACAGCGACTACGAAGAGGTGTCCCAGGGCAGTGACACCAGAATATGCCCCCCCTCGTCGCTCCTACCGCCGGACCGCAAGTGGGGATTCATCACCATCGGCTACCGTGGCTCCTGCACTATTGGCAGGGAGAGCCAAGCAGATGCCAAATTCAGGAGGGTCCCAAGGATTTTGGTTTGTGGAAGGATTTCTTTGGTCAAAGAGGTTTTTGGAGAAAGTTTGAATGAAAGCAGAGACCCAGACAGGGCTCCAGAGAGGTACACCTCCAGGTTTTATCTCAAGTTCAAGCACCTGGAGAGGGCTTTTGACATGTTGTCCGAGTGTGGATTCCACATGGTGGCCTGTAACTCCTCGGTGACGGCTTCCTTCGTCAACCAGTACACAGACGACAAGGTCTGGTCCAGCTACACCGAATATGTCTTCTACCGTAAGTACCGGCGGCGCGGGGAGAGCGCACCGAGCCGCGGCCGAGCGTTCCGGGGAGCGCCGGCCCCGTGCCCAGCCCCGGGGGGACACGGTTCCGGGGGGCTGAGCGGGCGGAGCGGGGCTGAGCTGGGCTAGGTGGCAGCACAGACTGCCGAAAGCGCCGTGCCCGGAGGACGCGGTGCCTCCGGCGCTGTAAATCAGCACCGAGTGCCTCGCACGCTGCCCGGGACGTGTGGGACACGAAGCGAGGGGGCAAACACTGCGAAATTCATTACGGAAAGCCTTCGACTGGGATGCGCTTTGCAAAGGTAATAGAGGCTTGGTAATCATCAGGCACAGGCGGCCAAGCCATCTGTCGGCAGCCTGACACGCTTCCACACGGGGAGGGGAAAACACAGCTCCATCCCTCTGGCCGCCTTTCAGCGGGGCGCTCCCAGGGGCAGCTCTGCGCTCTGGAGTGAGGCTCGGAGCACAGAGGGGCAGGGGCTGGGCCTCCTTACGCAACACGCCCGTGGAAAAGCCAGTGTCCTCTCCAGGAGGAGTGCGTGCCCTGATCCTGCAGCCACATCGGCCCCGCGCTGCGCGCTGCCCTGAGCTGCAGTGCTCAAGGGCTCGTTAAGCTCAGCGCTGATAGCCGGGTACAGCCTGGTTACCAGTGGTGACACCGGGGTGACCCGGATCCCGGGGGTCTGCAGCAGAACATCGCTCCACATCTGCTGTGCCGAAACCTCTGAGAGGTTCGAGAGGCTGTTTGCCTCCATTTGCATTTGAGGAGGACGAAGGATGGAACAATTGCCCCATCCATCAGTGTAGCCAGCTGCTGCTTTGGCTGGTGGCCTTGGGACAGAGGGACACAGGGACAGGAGGGATGGAGGGAGAACGCAGAGCTGCCACCCTGGGTGTGGTGCTCACAGTGAGCAGGCTCCTGGTGTGGGCAGCTGACAAAAGTTTTTGATGGAAGATGCATCAGGAAGTGAACAGCTTGGGTGTAACTCCATGGATTCAGTGCCATCTACCCTGGTGTGGGGCTCAACAGGCAGCCCTAATCTGCTTATGCAATGAAGCTTAAGTTAGCATCCTGAAAAGCCATCTGGGTTTTTGACATCTGTAGATTTACTTAAAATTAGTTTTCTAGCTGGATTTCTTAGCAAAATAGTTCTAAGGTCATGGATCCGCTTATATTCCAACAGGGATGGATGATTTGTGTTATTAAGAAACTTCGGCTTGAAATTACAGTGTCTTGTACAAGTTCTAGGAGGAGAATTAATGTAGGTAAAGGAATGGATTAGAAAAATTGTGCTGGCATTTCTATTTAAAATAAGGAAAAAATATAAGTTCTTTATAGGCACAATGATCTCTGGTAATTGAAGAGAGGATGAACACAGGCTTTCCCTAAATTAGTAAAACAGACTCCCAATTTTCATATTTCTTAAATTTTTACTATAAAGGATTGCACACTGCTCCCACATCATTTCAGCCAGGGTAGGTACCAAGAGGAGAGGTACTGTAGAAATTCTGGAGAATGAAAGTCCATAGCAGGTGTCACAAAATCTTCTCCCATCAGTTAAATCCAATTGAAGTTCCTGGAATGATTCCTATCCAGTTCAGCAGGATTTGGATTTGGCTCTGGTGGGTTTTGTGGGGGTTTGGCACTGATGCAGGTTCAGAGGTGGATTTTTCAGAGGGTCCTTCCCCAGGGAAACGCCAAGGCTGTGGCTGTGGTGCCAGATGACCCTGTCCTGTCCCAGCCCCAGTGGTTCAGCTCTGCCTGGTGCTGGTGCTGCTGCCATGGAGCTCCAGCTGTGGATCCTCGCTGGCCCACACCCAGGGCTGGCTGCAGCTGATGACCTGAGAGCAGGCTCCACAATTCACCTGCAGCAAAGGAGCTCCCTCTCCAAATCTGAAATAATTCCACTCCTATTGTCCCAAAGCCTTTCATCTGAAACTTTGAGGACCAATAAAATTGCCATCTGGCCTTGCAGTGAACATGGCATCTCCTCTGCAGCTGCTGGGCCATAATTATTTCTTTAGATGCTGCCAGCTGTGTCTGTGTGAGCATTAATCATGGAGCTGCTGTGAGCAGGTCAATGGGCCTGAACCTCAGAGCTGTCTGACACAACTGGGGACGCAGAGGCAGAGCTGCCTTTGCAGGGCTGCTCAGGAGCTCCTGTGAAAGGCCTGTTGGAGGAAATCTTCCTAGCTGGAAATGGATGATTAGTTGCAAAGAAGGAAGGATCCAGGGAGGAATGGTGTTTCAATACACCAAACACATTGTATGCTCCAAATAGCACTGGGGAGGAAAATGCCTGTGGTTGGCACAACGATAAAGAGCATTTGTCATGTTCAAATCCATCTGAAAGTGGCTGAGGTGGAGGGGAGGGGTGTGAGCTGAGCAGCTCTCACAGTACAGCGTGTGCTGGTGAAGCACTGCCCCATCAATCCTCCCTGGCCCTTTGTGCCACGGGCCCGTTCCGGTGCTGGCAGGGGCTGGACGGGACAGACAGAGCTCCCGTGGGGGAGGCTTTGCCAAGCTGGCCCTGCAGGATCAGCCTGGCACTGCCAGCCCTGTGCCCAGGACCAGCCTGGCACTGCCAGCCCTGAGCCCAGGATCAGCCTGACACTGCCAGCCCCGAGCCCAGGATCAGCCTGGCACTGCCAGCCCCGAGCTGTTGGTTGAGGAGAGCCCAGGGCGTGGGCACAGCGCCCTGCCAGCCCCGAGCCCAGGACCAGCCTGGCACTGCCAGCCCCGAGCCCAGGACCAGCCTGGCACTGCCAGCCCTGAGCCCAGGATCAGCCTGGCACTGCCAGCCCTGTGCCCAGGACCAGCCTGGCACTGCCAGCCCTGAGCCCAGGACCAGCCTGACACTGCCAGCCCCGAGCCCAGGATCAGCCTGGCACTGCCAGCCCCGAGCTGTTGGTTGAGGAGAGCCCAGGGCGTGGGCACAGCAGGGGCACTGCCAGGCCCCAGCCAGCCCCCCCTGGGCCGAGGCTGGGACGGGCCAGCAGAGCCACCCCTGAGCAGTGCTGTGACACAGCTCCTGTGGGGTGGCACGGGGGTGGGCACGGGGCACTGCCAGGCTCCTGCTCACAGGAGGGGAGGGGGGTGAGAGCTGAGGGGCTGCTCATGCATTTCCTTTCCCTCTGGCTTCTCCTATAGCAAAGACATTTCCTTACATTTTCTACTGGCTATGTATGTCTGACCAGGACCATTTTGTGGGTCCCCCCCATTATTGCTTGAATGATCTTAAAGTAAAACCTCATCTCCAAGCTCTCTCATTTTTGAAGAGGGTGAACAGCCTCTGCTTGGGTCTTCATGTCACCTGTTTTCATCCTTTATAATGTGATGAACTGGGAGTGTGCACTGGAACATCTGGTGACATCTGGTGGTGCTGGGGGGGGGGCTGTGGCAGCAGCCGGGCTGGCTCAGCCTGGCCCCGTTCCTGGGCTGTGACAGCACCGTGCTCCTCTCCAGCACAGCCCACAGACCAGCACTGCGCCTCCTCCCAGTCCCACAGCGCTGCCAGCACTGGGGTGGCACCCTGAGCGTGGCTGCTGGGCCTGCCAGGAGAGCAGAGCAGCGGCGAGGGAAGGGACAGGGCCTGAGCTTCTGCCAGCAGCGCCGTGACACAGCGGGATGGGTGTGCCCGTGCCTGCGGGCAGCTGGCACCTCAGGGACATGGCATGGCATGGCACGGCATGAAACTGCCTGCCAGCCCCTTCTCACATGGCTGCTCCCCAGCACCCTGGAGCCGTGTCCCTTCTCTCTGAGAGGGGCTGACAGTCAGGGTGGTTGCTGTGATTTGTGGAGCCTTGCCCACCACTGGAGCCGTGTACCTTCTCTCTGCGAGGGGCTGACTGGAGGTTCCTGTGATTTGTGGAGCCTTCCCTGCCCTGGCCCTTTCACAGCTGCACACAGGGAGCATTCCAGGCACTGCAGATGTGCAAAGGAAACGGTGAGGTGCGGCTGGTGCTGTAGCTCTGGAAGCCAGGGATGGATGAGTGATGCTCCTGCAGGCCCTGTGCTGGCTCTGCTCGCTCTGGGACCCTGGGGATGCTGGGCCCACCTCGCTCTGTGCAGGAGCTGGCCAGGTGTGCCTTGCAGCTGCTGGCAGGGGGCTGATGGGCAGAGATGTTGCTGAAGTAGGCTTCAGTGTCCTGGGATAAACAGATGAATCCTCCTGGGCGGGGACTGAGGAGGAAGGAGAATTGCCAGGCGATATTCCCCGATGCCTGTCCCTTGGACACCGATCCCTGGGATAATCCTGGTGTCTGTTTACAGCAGGATCCATTTGGGATTGCTGCAGCCAGCTGGGGCCTGTCACTGTGCATGTGTGACTGAGCTAAGGATCCCATACTGATGTGCCTACCACTGACTCATAAATTCATTGTGTGGCAGAAATTTGACTCACAAAACGGAGCAGCCTTTGCACGGTGACACCCACAGCTGTGCTGTCAAACGGGCAAGATGTGGGAGAGGAACATCTCCCAGTTCTCTTTAAACCAATACTGTCACATGGTCCAGGAGTGCTTCTGTCTGGTTTTAAATCAGTGAAGATCAAAATGACCCCAAAGTGAGCAAAATGAAGTCTAATCCAATGAATAATGCAAGCTTCTTCCCCGCTGGCAGGAGATGTTTCTGTTTCCAGGTAATTATTGTCATCATCGGTGCCTCTGGTTCCTCTTGCCAAAGCAAACCCTCTCACCAGGAGGATCATCTGCAGGTGCTGGGGCTGCCACCAGCAGCTCTGTCAGTCTGTTCATGGCTGAAGGACCTTGCTCCAAGCTTTCCTGCTCTCCCAATTTGTCAGGGCAGACTGAAAAACCTGCAGAGTTGTTGATTAGAGTTATTCCACAGATGAGAACAGCTGTTATTTATTGGAAACCAGTTGTGACAAATCTGATTGTCAGATTAGGCCAAGAATCTGCCGCTCAGTGAGCGAGCAAAGCAAATCTGGACAAAAGACTCGGCTGGATTTAGGGCTCAGAGTTTGTTCTAACGGT